TTTTATGAACGTTAATGTTGTTTTTAGAAGTATCATGTCCTGAAGTTAATAAGATTTTCAATGAAAACTCTATTTCTCTTTTTTAAATGTTCAGGTTGTATATGGGGTGTCTTGATCGGAGGTCACATGTAGTTGTGCATCCATTATTAATTATTACATTAATAGGGTCAGTTCATTTCATCTCTCCATCAATTTATTCGAACAAAAAAGCAAAGAGTATAATATCGAGTGAAAGTTCTAAACCTGAACCAGATAGATCAATTGGGTTGAAACAAACTTTTGTCACCAACAAGTACAATCATGGAATAAATCATAGACATAAGATGTAGTGTTATTATTGTCTTCGTACCAGACCATATCGTGAATCTAGCCATTGAAATCACCAGAAATGGACAAACTGGTTATAGGGCAGTCATCAAGTACCTGTAACTGACAATACTAACCCCAACACAGATACATACCGACATGGTCTCCACTTTAGGGGTTAATGCCATTTCCTTTTCCACGGTAAAGAGGTGTGTTGCGGAATTTAAGCGTGGCAGAAAGCCTTAACGAAGACCCGCGTCCTGGAAGGCCATCAACAGCAACCATTCAAGAAAACACTTTCCGGGTGAATGACATGGTGATGTCTGATCGACCACTCTACATATTGCCAGTGCTGTGGTTATCTCTCATGAGAGGGTTGAGCACATTATCGCCAACGAGTTAGAAATGACAACATTTTCTTCAAGATGGGTGCCAAAGCGTTTGACTTTGGATCAGAAACGTCACGTGACAATCTGCGCAGTCTTGAAGCAGATCCTGATAACCTTTTGGCCAGGTGTGTAACCATGGATGAGACCTGTTTGCAAAAATGAAAAAGGAACTAGCCAGTCGCCATTTTCCTATTAATGATTACGTCATGTAAGCTGCTAACGACTTTTTTATTAGGGGGGCTGAAGAAAATTTCTTCCTGACCGGCATCCAGGCCTTGCAACATCGTTGGTAAAGTGAAGCACGCACACCTCGAAGGAGACTATAAAGAAGAATTAATCGAAACCATTGACTTTGTATAGGTCTTTCACAGATAGGCTTGTCCAATCAGTCCTACCTATATTACTATTTACGTTTTTAATGTATACAGCTTATTAGTAATATCATTTGTAAACACCATAGGTTAGTATTGATATTAATGATATCGGAAATGACATTAGTTCAAGATATACAATATCACTGGCGAATTCTAACCTTATACTTTATAATTAATCTGATGGTTTAGTGTTCCATTGTAAACCACCATAGTTTACAATTATAATATTTTTGTAAACCACTGTGATTTACAAAATAGTTATATACAGTATCATGAACCATAATCCATAGTCCATAAATTCCAACAAGTAATTGAATTTCACTACATAAGAGGAAACGAGTAAAAAAGAAATAGTCCGGACTTTTTCTATGACAGTCATAGGGAGAAACTTGCACATTGAGCCTACTATATAACTGACAGAAGTGACGCGTGATAACAGATACACGGACGAATTTCTGCTCACAAATAATTCCTTCGAAGACTAAAAGTTGTTATATGAGGGTGTGAGGGTATTTCTGACAATTCCGAAAAGTAATTGAATTTCACTAGATAAGAGGAAACGAGTAAAATAGAAATAGTCCGGACTTTTTCTATTACTGTCAATTTTTTTTATTTATTTTATTTTATTTTTTTATTTATTTTTTTTTTGTATTCTTAGATATCCTCCCAGTCTCATATAACAACTTTTGGTCTTAGAAGGAATTATTAGTGAGCAGAAATTCGCCCGTGTATCTGTTATCAGTTATATAGAAGGATATCTCGTGTTTTCCTTTTGCTTTCGTCACTTCCGTTTCTAAAAATCTTCATTAGGCATATATCGTAGCGATGATCTCTGTGTTAAAATTATAATCGGGACGTGTTCTATATCATATACCCAGTTCTATCACATATATGTGATAATGATTGACACCAATATTGTCCTTTAAGCCTATTTCATTTTTAAATGCCGTTTTCAGATCCGATATTAAATTAATATGCTTGTCTCAGTCGTTTTATTGTAAAACTCTAAGATTTAAAATGGCAATATTATTGTTAACATGCATTATGTAGGTCTTTCTGTAAGCTTGGAATATTATGTAAATTATTAATTAGACATTAATTAACCTATCCAGACCATACTCAACTCATGATGCTATCGTTAGCCTGCTATATTTAGTGGATTTGAATACATTTTGTGATGGATAATTTAATGTAAAAATGGATAGTTGAGACTTTGTTTATTATCGTACCAAGGTTAGTAATGACGATCGAGGCTACTTAAAATTTAATCGCTAATATATCTGGGTTCAGAGTGAAGCAATTTGACAGAAATGTTCTAACTGTAATAGCGAGAACTGTCAGCTCTTTATCTAATCTTACCTAATGCCACTTTAAACTGCCAAGCACTATGATTTAGATTACAAAACACTACGATTAGAATTACAACAGCAGTTGCTAGTCTCTCTACCAAATATTGTGATTTACTATTGCAATATTAGTTGCCATTGTTACACCATGGTTACATTTCACAACACTGTGATTTATAATTATAATAGTTGTTTGATTACAAACCATTAACATACAATATTTTGTAGCAGTTGTTAATTAAATATTATTTACTGATTATTTTCTATCACTTTTATAATAATTTCACCTAAAATAAAATTATCACTTCTAGTCATTCAGATGATTACTAAAATGAAGCTAGTTAAACTGTATTAGAATTATTAAAATAATGTATTTATAAATTATACGTATTTTAACTTCTATTGGGTTGCTGTTGTTTTACGCTGAACTTAAGTCTACAAATTCGATTTAAAAAAGATGACAATTATGTTATCTTTTATTCTCCTACATAGACATTTCACATACTTTCTTCAAGGCCAGTGCCAAGATCACGTGAACTTACCGACCAATTAAACTGCCTGTATCTGTGTGCAGGACTGGGGATTTTGTAACTTCAACGTATACATAGGAATGACTCTGAATGATTGATATCAATGGAACTTTCGCTAGTAGAAAATGGTTTGGGCAAAAATATGTAAAAATACAATGTAATGTAAAAAAAATAAATGTGGTTGTTTTGGGGTTTTTTTTTAATGAGACCGTCTTTTAAAAGCATTTGGAAGTATAAATAATACATTTCGTATGTTCTTACTGGGTCTTTCGGGAGACTTTATCAGTAGCCTCTATAGTAATATAACGTTTGTGACAATGTCTAACTCTCGTGCCGATAGTCATTTTAGTGAGTAGTGTCACTAGTTAGATTATTCCAAATCATTGATTTCTGTACCCAGGCTTCTACCGTGTTCAATTTAGCAGGTTATGGAGAAAACGTGTTTTAGGAGTTATTAGCTATATTTCATATAAAAGGTTATTGGGTAACGACTGGTGGGGTGGGAGTGGGGGGGGGTCAGTCTGATTTTGTTAGTGTTAAGATTTGATTATTGATGTGCTATATCATCCATGGAATAAACACTCATACACTGTTACTCTCTTGTATGTCAAACAAACATTTTGGATATAATAATTTCTTGGTGGTGCAATCTCGTTAAAACACAAGTCCAAATTTCGTTTTGTGACGGTCAACGAAAGTGTAAAGAAAAGAAATGAAATTCAGATCTTTGTTTTTATCAGATTGTTGTTTAACATTGCTCTCGTCGGCAAAGTTAACGCACGCCTTTAATGTTAATTAGATGATTTTATGCGCCCTCAATACAGATTTAATGTATCTGATATCATGGAAAAATAATATCATAGGCTGAAATTGATTCTGAGGCTTACAATAAATGGATAATTATGTGGAAGAAAGGCATAATATCCTGCAACCAGTAGGTTCAAAAAAAACTTACTGTAGTACTAGATATCATAGGTCAAGGCAAGTAATTAGCAGGTGAACATGTATAATGTAGATGTTGTTCTTAGACGTGAAATCCAAAAGACTTTCCCACACAAGAAACCTATGATGCATAATTAGATCTACAAAAACACGTATCGTTGTTATCAAGAATTATTTAGACATATTCTCCATGGTTACATGCGATAAAATTCAAGATCATTGATTAAATACGTGAATAAGATTTTTTTTCTATTTAATTGATATCCAACGTTGTTCAGATGTTGTGTTCTTTTAAATATGTCATATTTTCTCCGTAAAGTCGATGAATTGCGCCAATTCAATATATCAAGATATAAATATTGTAATATACGTCTACGTATGTAGGCTAAGTATATCTAATCACGTTTGTAATCTAGAAATATCCTAACTCCGAAATACATCCAAATTTTCAAAAGAACACTGCGCAGATTAAAACGAAGAAGACACTGAAACTATTGATTTATCAAACCAAGCGTGCTCATGTAGGTCTATAAGAATACAAATTAACTAGACATAGCTGGAGGAGATAGGACACCTAATAAATATTCCTCATATAGTCTTACTAAATATTCAAATTCTACCAACAAAATTGCACTAATTGTTCAAAAATCAGACAATCAGGTTTGAATTGATTATAATATGTTTGTAGAAAATTAAAATTAGCATCACAGACCGACCACTATTCCAAGAAAAGGAAATGAAAAACGAATACCGAAATACATTCATCAAATATTCATTTGAAGATATATATTATCTGTCATTTTCTTTTCGTTACATTTAAGATTATTATTTCTGAAAAAAAAACTAAGATAGAATAGCAAACAAATCTGGATTTTATTTGATTGCATGTCTCTTTTTTGACTCGTGGAAACATTTCGTTTCCCTTAGAATTTCTTACAAAATTCATTAAAATAGTCGAAGAATTCTTTTGAAAAGCTATGAATGTTGTTATGGATACGAAGTTATGGATCAAAAATCACATTTAAAAATATATACGCATACAATGGTAAAAAAAAAGTTCATTGTATTCTATATGTAATATTATATAGTTTATGCTTTTGGAAAATTACCTACCGATGGGTACTCCGTCTGATAATCCATTAATTACACCTATCTGTATCCAGTTCAAGACCAAAAGTCCGTAGACGAGTATTTTTGTCATGTCCGTCCTGGTTTTTCCACAATATCCCACATTTCTCGGCCATAACAATATGTATGTTTAGTGAACGCTCGCTCTCGCCATTGCACTTAACTAATAATTTCAGATGGAAGCAGAAGCCATCTCAGCGCATGTGCAGTCACAATCTAATTTTTAGGCGAAGCAATGGCGTGCTGATTGTCCCCAAAGCACGGTTGAAAACTCTCTCGTCAGAGAACTCGATTACTCTGTCTGGTCAGCCGAAAATCATCAATGACTGAAACCCATCATAAATTGGCTACTAAATTTCTCCAGTAAATTCACTTATCATCAACGGATCTACATGTACATATACATATATTGCGGTAGCGACTGGATTAGAAGAGTCGCGTGTTTGAATGTTTTAGTTTTCTAATTCTAGAGGAAATAATGATAAAAGTGACAGCTGTGTATGGAAGGTCGAGGGAAGCAATTGAGATAATTAGGATGAGAAGTTTAGGCTATTTGCTAATATTGATTACAAGTGGAACAAGCATACCAGGGGAATCAAACACAAGAGTACTGTGGCATTTGTAAATGTAATATTATAAACAATCAGAATTTGTCATGGTTACCATTATTTCAAGTTTCTCTGGTTAAACACGACTATTTAACTATATCATATCCCAGCAAGCCAACTCATTATTATCCCTTATAATTAACAGATAGGATTCTACTGGTCACTATAGTGTCAATTAACACTGTTCTGTTGAATTTCATAGTGAAGACTAAGCTTATTATATCTTAAGACGTCATTTAGAAGAATATTTTTCTTAATATTATACGCGCTTCTGTTTTTCTTTCTGGTCTTTTGGGATATTTTGTTATGCGTCTCTGTAGACTCGTATAATTGGATTTTACGGTCACGAATATTCTAGACCAAAGCAAATGTGTGATCATTTTGTTGATAAAATAATATAAGAGAAAACATGAAAAGGATAAAAGCTTAATATAGCGACGTGGCACTTTGTACCCGAATATATACACTATCTTTCTAATCCGCTTAAAATAAATTGATTTTGATCGTAAAACAGGACTCAGACGTATATTAATGTAATCTATCTTCACTCTATCTAAGATATTAGCTCTATATTTTGATAAATAGCCCATAAACTTAAGGTAATCATAAAACACAGGAAAAAAAGAGATTGAAAGACGGCATTGAGCCAACTTTATGGCATAAATTGGGTCGACTACAAGCAATCAATGAGTGTTTCTACTATAATTTACCATTGCCAGTGAGGAGCTAAAATATCATTTATCATATTCCATCGATCCAGAGTGGAGAATGAGTTTAGATACAAAGCGGCAAAACAAGACAAGACCAATTTGGCAGTAAAGGGCACGTGCAACTGTCATTTCTGTGTCTGGTCCAGATTTTCTATATCTGATAATAAAGCGGTCAAGTTTGTAAACGTGCTTTAAGGTATTTAAGATAGAAAGATGTGCTATCAACACGCAATGTCTCCCATTTTAATTATTTTACGTGACCAAACACTTGTTTTCCTTCATTTGGCTATAAAAACGAACGGGTAAGCTTCTATTCACTGGTACTATTAGTATTTCATAGTTCAGATCGGAAATCTGACTAAAACAACCACACAGTGTTTTTTCTTTCATAATTTATTTTCTAAAAATGTACGTTACCAAGAAATATGAGATTATCCAAATTCACAATAAAAGATATTAGAAAAAGGTTTCTATATCCATAGCAGCTGTCGTGTGCTTTTAAAAATAAGAATTAGAATATTCCACTAATACATATTTCATTTGTATGTTTCGTGTTATATTTATGGGTTAATCCAGATTCTGCAAAACACTGCTATACAAATATATATGAGTGTGTTGATTTTTCTGTACACAATCTCAGCTGTACAATAATATCAACCACAAATATATACCCTAATCCACGATTAATTTATCGTGGATATCTGATAAGTCTTGAGATAGTGTAGTCAGATATAACTAATTGGGTTCAATCAGTCGGTGAAGAACTATTGGCGTGGGCGCTCGAGTCCAGAGGACCACAAATTGATGTAGTGTGACACGTAGATAAGTATATTTGTATAAGAAGAGAAACGTACAAGATAAAACCATTCCACCTTTAACACGACACCAAAACATGACATCGTTTTACCACAGTGTCATGGCTGTCCTAAATCTTGATATACAAATACGTAGATGAAAACATAAATCCCTTGCTGTGATAATTAGGTCATCTATTCCCATCCATAAACCTAATTTTGTATAGTTCTTCAAATGAATCTGAACAATAAACACCACAAAGCAATTAAACATCATTATAAATGTATGGAATAGGGTGTTACCTACAAGATATATGTAGCAGAAAGGAATCACTTTGCCTTACTATAATTCGTGAGATGAAAGAGACTAACCTCCACTCAACAAAAATAGGGAACCTGGAATAAGGTCAAAGATCTGCAGTGCAATGGTTGGATCCGGAGAAAGGCAAAGACTTGCAGCGCAATGCGTGATCCCTATCCCTCCCTCTTACTTTGTCTCTCTGTTTCTTCCTTTTGAAACACAATACTATGTATAAAGTCCGAGAAAAAACATATTGTTGAATACATAAGCTTGTTAAACTTGCTAAACACAAGGTTTCCCCGGCTTTTACTGAAGGAAATTCATGTCTGTCTTTCATCAGAACAAATTTATTTCCTCACTACGTCATGGGTCGACCATAATACACAAATTTTCTGTATTCTATTTTGAATCAGTTTAATTTCTTTTGAATATTTTATACACAGACGGCTTATTGCGCTGTTGATGAGCGAGTTTTAACAAGAGTTTTATTTTATTGTCTATAGGTGTGTTTATTTTGTTGTTGATTAAAATCGCGGATCGTGTGATCATGAACTATGAAAACAAACACTTTTCAACCATGGATTTTCCGCCTTGACAGATAAACTACAGAAGGTGATGAAATTATTCTATTCCAAGATTGCATATAGTAACAAATTGCTTTTGAAGATCGTTGGTTTTCTACGGGTATTTTGGTTTTCCCCCAGTGTTTAGAAAACAGATACACCATTTAGTCCTGAAAACAAAACCAATAACGACATGTGTTGCAGAGAAGGTGTCAATGAATCCCCATGGATAACATTCAAGATTGCTATTGGGTTTGACAAAACACGGGGATACTCAATTGTACGTTCAGGTATTGAATTATCTCAATAGCTCAAACGATATCAATCGAATAAATACGAGCATTTCTGGCAATAAAGCATGCGCAAAGTCAATATGATAATATCTCCATCACCAAAACAGAAACGTTTGATTACATCACGACTCTGTTCACACCATCTCCGTTTTTGGGACTCGCAGAACTGTGATAAGACCCCAATTCCATGTAGATGGATTATAATTCGGCCCTTGACTGACAATCGACCCCCCCCCCCACACACACACACACACACTTATATTCCCAGACCCTAACCCATTCTACTCCAAAAACAAACACGCAGAATTATCACCCGTAATTTAATTTGGAAAGTTTTCGCCAATATTTTGTAATCTATGATTGGGTATTGGGAACTGTTATGCTATTTAGAGTTATGAAAGTTTATGTTATGTAATTGAGTAAATTGATAAATGCGACTATTCGATATACCGTTTCTAAACGTAATTAAACACAGTAACAAGTAGTTCATATTACTCGCTGGAAAACAAACAAAAACCAATATATATCTGGGATGTTTCTTTTAAATTCTGTATCACTATTTTTTTCCCCCATTCTGGTTTATGTATTTTTATAGACTTCATTTTGAATACTTATGATTAAATTTCTAAACATGCAGACAATACGAACACTTTTAATTGATTGTAAAATTATAACTTTTTAAATTATACTTAGACCGCAATGGTTTTGATAATTTACACAAGGTTGAATTATAACCAAATTTGTATTATTCTATCAGTATATGTCTATCCTGGGAGAATATTAATTCATTTTTGTTCTTCGAGTGAATTTAGATTCAAATATCACCCACTTTGTCAGTGGTCAAATTAAAAGCATATAATTTAAAATAGTATCCTTCGACAAGTAGCTTTGTTGAACCAGTGCAAAATCTGTATTGATGATCTTGCATTTCAAGGTATTTTTCTGAGACCAGGCCTCCCTAGTCAGTGGTCGACAAAATTTTACAATATTGACTCGGTGAATCGCATGATAATTGCTATGCAATTTTGACGTCCAGAGAAAAGCCCGTATGTGCCATCTTTAAACGTATTGTTCATTTAGTTGATTACAGTATTAAAACCGGAAATCAACCGGGGAAGGTTTGTCCTCCATTGTCCTTTTGTAACGGTTAAATTTTAAATCTTTCTATAGCAGTCATGGGTTCGATTGTCACTTGAGTGGGTATGGTGCTTGCTTAATCTCAAGGGTTTTCGCCAGATACTTTGGTTCTTTCTGCGCATAAGTATAATAGTCATAATCAAAATAGACGTTCAGTTTGCAAGGATGTGGTCATCATTAAATGTGTGACATTTCCTAGTTTGTTCGGTGCATTTTGAAAATATTATTTATAAATTGCTAGAAAGCCTACCAGTACAGTGTAATTGTGGTTAATAAGGTTTCTATAAAATGATAACACACAAGATGTCTGAACTGTATTTCAAGTAACAGGTTTCAAGATGGAGAACTCGCTGTAAGAATTTGTCATATTATGAAGCGTTGCAACCGGATATTGAAATTGTTACATGTCAAGATTTTTGAATTCCTATCAGTTAAATACAGATGCTACTAAAATCTGACATTGTATAGGGAATTATGAAAGTTTCAAGTTGTTGTAAGTTCGGTACTTGTAGTTTAAACTCACGATTTATATGTTAATTCAAGTAGTAGGTATAACGATTGATTTTTTCTTTACCCTTTGAGAGATGATTGTGAGGTGGGCGTCAACGTTCTAAGATCGAATTAACAGAGGACGTCCATTTTAAGCTATTCTGTGATTTGTAACCGTACAACGCTACCATTGACAAGACCCGAAATTTAATACATTTATGTTGTACGCTATAGTAACTTTCGTTTCATCTTGAAACCCGTTATTCATAATAGGCTTTTGTAATTGACTTAAAACCGAAATATGACAATTTATTTCCAAGAAATATAAATTATAAAATATGTTTCGTAACAATTATATTAATGAAATACACAATACTTTAAAGTGTCATATTCTAGCTAGAATTTCTTTAAATAGGAGATATATTTTAAATTTGTCTCCAGACGAAAGCAAATCTACGGGAATGAATTCTAGCCTTTGGTATTTAAATTACCATGTGGAATTCCTTAACATTTTACGCCATTTAAAT